GCACAGTGCTACTCTCATGCTAACAACCCAGAATTTGGCATCATCGGTAAGATAAACCAGCTCCTTAAGGGAGAAAAGACAAACCAAAGATAAGCTAGGTTTTTTCCCTTGAAGGGGGTTTTTCCCCAGTTTTAGCCCAAAAATCTAAAAGATTCTCGTTTTGCCGAAATACTGCAAACCTGTGGCACTGAAGCAGTAGACTTGAAGAAGTGAACAGAAACAGGCGACACAGCCCGATTTTTGGCTAATGAACTGTTGGGCCGCTGAACATCACAGAGATGTTTGACATCCGTATCCTCCTCCAATGCAGAAGTAGATGGCCGCAGCAGGGAAAACTCGCTTCTGAAGTCCATCAGATCAGCTTCGAACTCGGCAAACCAATTTGGATTGTCGAAATCCACTTTTGTTTTACTTCGATCAGAAGTGCGGAAAAATTTGGCGACGCCTGCAACAATAACGACAAAAAAAAATTCAATCAGTGCATTGTCAAAGTTCTTACGTGTAAATACATTTAGCTCTAACATAGAGAATTACTAGGAAGAGCACAAAAGTCCCTTTTGTCTGATTTGAGTAATGAAATGGAGTGCAAAATCATCGGAGTTCGAGAAACTGCAAAAACTTTGAACAAAAATCGCAAAAAATTTAGCTGCGAAAGCAAATGGGCGCAAAATATTACAGCAAAATTTTGTGTGTATGCAAAATCTCATTTCAGAGGCCGAACTCAAGCAACGACAAAACTTCCTAAACCATCTCTCTGTGATCTTATTAACAATCAGTCTCTCCGCTAGATGACTGTCTTGGACAACGTGAGGACTGACAGATTGAAAGCTCTTTCTTGGTTACCGTTCTTAATTGGTGGAGTGATTTGTCTGATTTATTCCGATAACGAGCGAGACTCTAGCCTACTAAATAGTTACTGGATATTCAGTAGAAAATAAAAGCAATGGGCAGGATGTGCTGTTCGTCCTGCCAACAACAAGATGGACATCGAGTATTAGTGGATACGGCAGGCAAGGAAGCAAAACGACCACTTGGGCTCCTCAAACTTGGCGCACACACATCGGACAGGCCATAGATACTAAATGAAGATCTGCATTTAGTATTTACGCCCATTCGATTTGTATGCGCAGCTTTTGAGGACAGTCCTAGTAGTCGTTTTGCTTTTTTACCATGTCGGGGAATGATTAAGCGTAAATGTCTATTTTACTGCTGACGGCTGCTCACTACTACGTAAAAAACACAAGGAAAGGAAGACTGAGCATACATTCCCACTTGGAGATGCTGGACGCTGGTACCGGTTGTTCAGGGCCATGCCTGGCAGATAAATTCACTCCGCCTTCCATATACTCGTACGTATGTGGCCTAAAAAAACGAAAAAATGTAAGAACATCTTATTAATTCTGAACTTAACAAATTCGGAGTTCAAACTGAACTCCTCAAAAAGGCAAGCCAAGAAACGTAGAGAAGCTTTTAACGCCATTCGCATCTCCCATTTATCCAAGACTGAAAAATCGGGCAGGGGGAGACTCCAGAGAAGCTTCACGGCTTATTTTTGCTCCCCGTCTGACTTCCCGCCCGCACTTTTGCGTCTCCAATTACGACAAGGCACAGCAGTAAATGTGAAGGAAATGCCTAAGACAAAATTTCTAACAAATCATCACATGGCACCAGCAAGCTCATCAGCACAAAACAACGAATTTTTACACTGAGAAAGATTTTTTCACAAATTTTCACAAAACAGCCTACCAATGACTACAAACTGCCGCAGTATAACGACCGAAAGCACCACGCACAAAATGTCGGTCGAAGCGATTTTTGGCATCATCGGCAGTTTTCGTGGAGCACAACTCAGAAGCGATTTCCTCCCTGAATGAGCGGAAGCAACTGCAGTGAAGCAGAAAACAAATTCGAAATCACAGGCGGATCCAGGTAGAGCAGCACAGGCACCAATGTTGCATAAGCCCGGGTCTGTTCATAAATAAAACTAAAGTAACTGTAAGTAGCAGTTATAACACAGCTACTTACAGTTGTGACACTTTGTTCCTAGTTCTTACACAGTTCCAGGGTGGGAGGGGGATCTCCCTCTTTCGCTGTTCGTCCTGGATCCGCTCATGGTAGAAATGCCAGTGGTGCTTACCAGTTGCCCAGTTTGTGCTTGCGCACCGCTCGGATCAAATTCAAGTCTTCTTTCCAGCCCCACTGCTTACCGGATTTACCAGATCCAAGAAGCGATGCGCCTTTGCAGTCTCTCACAATATAGGCATGCCCTCGTTTGTGAGGACCACATTCCGCCCCCATTCGAAAGCACTGCAACGCAACTCATACAGTACAACAAACAGAGGCCCCACTTCACTCATTACTGGTACCATGCAGCTCCTCTCTTGTTCTCCAGGAATATTTTGCTTTCACATAAAATGCACGCTCATTTCATTCACGAAACGGTGCTCAGTGCTTACCAAACTCTAAGCTATCAAAATCGATTTATCCTTTTCCAGAACAGCTCCTCGCATTGCATTCAACTCCTCAACGCTATAAATTCCTTTTCGCATGCAACGCACGCATAAGCAACCGGACTTTAACGGCCATTATATTTATTTAAAGGTACCAGTCATGCGGATGCTCCGAATGCAACGATTTTCCATCCTCAACTATTGAAGGCTAAGATAGAAAATGATGAAATGGAAAAAGAAGAGAAGGAAAACGAAGTGGGAAAAACAGAGAATGGGAGTATTGAAATATTTGTAATAGGTAAGAAATTTTTCGGTCCATTAAGTCGTATACATTTCTTACTGTTACCACAACTGGACCTCGTCAGTACGACGATTGTGCTAACAAACATAATTTGCATGAAGTTCAATATGTGAGTAGTGCACAAATTTTTAAGATAAGAACAAAGAGGAGAAAGAGAAGAGATTGAGGAGAGAAAGAAAATTATGAATCTATGATGTATGCGGCATTTTAAACCATAAAACGTGATGCCTTGGAGTTTGTCATACAACGATGTACAGTTTTTACGTATTCCTGCTTCAGTGCATTCGTACCAGCACATGGCCGCATAAAATGCTGAACAATAGTTAGCGAAGAGGGCAAGAGGAGAAGAGATAGGAGATGGGCGAGAGCTGAAGGAAAGGGGATGGGCCTGGAGTATGAGCGTGGAAGAAGTTCAAGGCTAGGGTTTCGTACGGCGAACATTTGCCGCTGAGAATGTTCACTGCTTCACAGTAATTGATAATGTGCAGTTCCAAATTAGTGCGTGTACGCGAGAGATCTCCCTCTTCCTCCTTTCATCCAAAACTTAATTAACACTGCCTGGGGATCGCTAGTGGACAGCAAGCATTGACCATGCACTACTTCTCTCATGAATTTGTCTGCCACTGGCTCACAAGCAACCCTGAAAACTTACAGAGGTACAGAGTTTCACATCAGTTCCAGCATCCAGGCACTCCTCGCACTGCACAAATAGGCATTCCTTCCGCGACAGCTGTACCTCACAGTTACAGCACACAACCTCCTCCATTTGCGCCCCTGCAACTCAATCACATTTACACGCACAACATTTTACGACTCTAATAATCAAACCCTCCCAGCGCCGCTAAAACCTCCACAGCTAAAACTCGGCTCGGCTCCTCTCGGCTATTCTCGGAAGATCTCGGTATCCAGAATTGTGCTAAACTCGCCCCTACTGCCGCTGAATTGCCTTACTACCAAAGCAATAGCACCACCCCCGCCAAAAACCGTTCCAAAGGTTCGCACCTCCATCCTTCCACCTTCGCCAACTTCCAGACGACTACTAAAACTCGACTCCGTCGGCGTCATACACGATTTGCGAACGATTTTTTTCGTTGTCCTTACCCTACTGCGGCAAAGGACGCTGGATGCCGCAACGGGGTGGCGGTGCTAGGGGAAGGGGTTGCTGTGTAAGGATTGTGGACGCGGGGAGTGGGAGCAACGGGAGGGGTTGGTTGGGTGGGTTGAGTGGATACGTGGCGTGGGTCCTTCGGCAGTTGCTTAGGCCAAGTAATGGAGAGGAGGTTGATGGGTGAAAGGAGGAGGAACTCAGCTGCTGGTTTTTGCCGAGAATACGCGAGGTACGAAAAGGGCACGGAAGGGGGTGGACTACAGAGGATACAGAAAATAGAGGGGAGGGAGGGTTGGTAATACATGAGCGCATTTTGTGGGTGTGGGATTCGAGACACGGGGAGGGGCGCTGGAGGAAGTGTGTGGAGGAGCGGGGTAGTGTGTGTTTGCGCGCGGGGATTCGAGGCAGGGGAGAGGGTTGGCTGAGTACACTGAATGGCTACGTGGTGTAATGGTTGCCTGGAGCACGTAAGGGAGAGGGGAGGGGTGATGGATGGAGATAGGAATTGGAGACAGGGTAGAGAACGAGAACAAGGGTACTAGTCAGGAGCTCGAGGTCGGACCTGGAGAAAACAATAAAGAGAAGAGAACAACACAGTATTACAGGGGAAAGTAGATTAATGGTGAAAAAAAAAACAAATATAAGTCTAAGAGAGTAGAAACTACCCTAAAAAAACCAGTTGTTATTAGGGACTTTCCTATTTATGGCCCTCATGCTTGGATAAAGTCGAGAATTAATAAGTTCGACTGGATTTATACAACCCAGGCTGGAACGCACCAGGCGGGCCAGTGCGATTATGCGTTTTTGTAAGATCGCAAGGAGTCAATGTAGCTAACCCTGTAAAATACTGGCCCTCGAAGTTCGGAAGTTAATT